CAGTCTATCATATCATATCATTCTTTTGTTTGTCTGCATCTCAATTGTGGTGTGTTGATTCCCTTCGTAATTTTTCACATGCATTGGCAAAGACGTCAAGAAACGAAGCAGCCAGTGCTATTGTAATTGCTACAGTCAAAACAAGTTAATTGCACACCCTCGTCGCATAGCTACATCGAAATCAGAGAATCTTTCATTATAACATCGGCGACAAATAATAAGAATTACTAACTCAAACAAATCTGGTTTTCGAGCTACATCGTGTGCTTCAGGAAAGCTTTTTTGGGACGTAGCCATTAGATATGTCTATGATAGGATTTTTTACTCACTTTTTTCTTGCATTACTGGGGATCACTGAAGACAACACTTCGGATGCACAATTTCTTAGGTTCACTAATTAGTCATTCAAAAGGAGTGCCATCCCTACAGTCATAAATCAAACTATACCTCATTTTCTTGGAAATAACGGATCATAGATAGATACTTGCATTTTGATTCACGAGCGTTGGCGTGTCATTTAAGATGGGCAAACAGCGCTCGCTCATAATTTATCACTTTTTACGTTTCTCACAATTAAATAAGCACTACGCTTAGCTACTCAACGCATGGCATTCTAATTACAAACTTATGATATGGATACAATCTTTTCCTATTGATTTTTGAGAGTTTTTCCTTTTTAATGTGATGCTCTTTTTTTCTAGCAACGTTTCATTTCTCTGTTGCAGTTCCACGGTCGGAACTGAGAAGAAGCCTTCCTCTAGCATCACTGACAATTTAGACAAGTGAGTTTTGTGGTCATGGAACGTCAGTGTGGTGATATATGAGCGAACTACTCTTGTACTGTACTACACTACACACACACACACACACCGTAATCTGGGTTGTCCAATGACAAGCGTCAACGCAACTGATAAGGAACAACTCGGAATTCCGTGCATGATATGGAGATTAGCACCTATTTTTCTGAAAAAGAGTTTCTTCAAAATTCAAGCCCGCGTGCCCATTTTTTTCCCAAAATCCCATCCTCCAGTTTGAAATGCCCAGAAGGCAGCGGGCCAGACGTTCTCTACTGACAAGCATCTAATCGCCCTTGGAC